GTTATCTCCTGTGAGGGAGCTGATTCTCATCACCCCCGTATTCGGGCTTTTCTTAGAGGAGCCACCAATTTACACCCTCCGACTCTTCACCGGTACCCAACCTGGGACCTTAACAGAGTCCTTATCTCACTCACAAAACCCCCCTTTGAGCCCTTAAGAGAGTCATCTCTCCAGTTTCTAACAGATAAGGTAGTCTTCCTTGTAGTGATTACATCAGCCCATAGGATATCGGAGATTGCAGCCCTATCCATTAGAAAAGACCTCTGTGTATTTCACACGGATCGAGTGGTCTTCTGGCCTGATCCTTCCTTTTTGCCCAAAGTCAATTCGGTTTTCCACAGAGCTCAGGAACTTATCCTTCCAAATTTTTGCCCCAAGCCATCACAGGAAAGGGAAAGGCAATGACACACACCGGATGTGAGACGTGCTTTGCGCATTTACATCAAACGCACAGAGTCCTTCCGAAAGTCAGAGGCCTTGTTTCTTTCCTTTCAACCCAAGACGCAGGGGCACAAGGTATCACCGTCCACCATAGGCCATTGGATAAGCGCGGTAATTGCCAGGTCATACCAGTCACAGGCCTTGCAGGTACCGAGAGGTATCATTGCTCATTCCACCAGGAGTGCAGCGAATTCGGCAGCTTGGGCCACCCAGGCACCAATAACCGAAATCTGCCGGGCGGCGACGTGGGCCTCCCCGTCACCTTTTATCAGGCACTATAAGATTGATGTGTTTGCCTCAGCTGAGGCTTCCTTTGGTAGAAGAATTCTACAGAAGGTTTTTAGAGAACCTGAGGTGGCTACAGACCAGACGGTGCCCCTCCCATAGGACAGGCCCAGCTTTGGTATGTCCCACTACTGGATGCTCTGAGCAGCTCTAAGGAGAAGGGGTGTTGGTACTTACCTGATACGCCCATTCTCTTTGAGCTGCAAAGAGCATTCAGCCCCACCCAAATTTCACCGTCTGGTGGGGTCTTGTTTCAGCCAATGAACCATTAGTTAGTTAGGATGAGAGCACAAATTTTTTTCCTCTCGTCTTCGCAAAACTGGGAAACGCTATGGAGGAGACACGTGGAGGAGGAGGAGCGTTCCTCAAAATTAAGCTCAGCCTATGAATGCAGAGACTGAAGCACCACCCGCTACTGGATGCTCTTCGCAGCTCAAAGAGAACGGGCGTATCAGGTAAGTACCAACGCTCCTTTTACAATAAAAAATTAATAGATTGATATAGAATACAATATAAAATATATAACCATTGGATTAATGTATAAGATTAAACTATAATGATATTTAGAATATCTTGCATAATGGCAAAAAAAAGGATAGCACAAAAGATTGTAACCAACTGACACACTGTATGCATATAATTGAAAGATGGTTTTATGTTTTTATGTTTTGTTTGTATGTTTGTTGTAAAAAATAAAAACTTTATTTTAAAAAAAGAAAATAACCATTGTTGATTTATTGATGTAGCTATTCCAAGAGATGGTAACCCGGAAGACAAAAAATTAGAAAACATTTTCAAATTACTGAGATTGGCAAACATTTGGAAGAATAATTAAATCCATGGCTATGGGTGGCATTAATGCGATTCCACATAGTCTTGGAAACAATTTGGATTCCTAAAATTGGAATGAGAGCCGCTTTGATGTAATGGTTGCGGCATTAAGCTAGAAACAATTCTAGTCCTGCATTAGGCACAAAGCCAGTTGGATTACTTTGGGCCAGTTACTCTCTCTTGGCTCTAGGAAGGAGACAGTGTCAAACCACTCCTGAAATCTTGCCAAGAAAACTGCAGAACTACAAACAATATCACTGTGGACTATTTCATATGTAATTAGATGCTATTTTATTGCAATTTTACAGGGCTTAAGTCATGAAGAAGAAAAGTGGCCAACATTAGGTGCAAAAACACAATTAGTGGAATTGGAATAATAATAAAGGAGAAAGCTGTTCTAGTATTGAATATCATGCTCCCTTCCATGTAGAATAATTTTCCAGTCTCATTCTTTGGATGATTCCATTTCCGAAAGATAGCTTCTCAAGACACACGTTTTCCTTGGCCTTTTACTCCCTCCCCCCAATCTAAAGAGCAATGGAAAAGGGCTGGGTTTTTTTTGCACAATAACCAATTATTACTCAGTTCTTAAGAATGCTCCAAATAACTTCTCTACAGTACTGTTAATGCAAAAATCTGTGTTACTCAACTCCCCAAACACAAGCATTTTACAAGTGGGAAATTCAGTTTCTTTCTAGCTAGCATGTTTATTTTATAGTGTATCTTGCAGAAATGTCATAGCCTTATTGCTTGATTTCTATAGCAGTTGTATGTGCAGTACAAACTTATTATGTGTATGCATGTGTCTGCAAAAAAGCTAGCCATCACTTTTCTGCAAAAGGAGCTTTTAAAGCATGGATTAGGTGTTTCCCAAATGAATATGAAAGTTTTAAAAAAAGTTCTAGTGCTCACAACTCAATCCACAGTGCTGTCTGTAACTCCTTATTGTTGTTGCTGTTGTTGTTGTTTTTCCGTCTTCAATTGATAGTCCTTCCTTGTCTGCACTACATATCCATTCTTCCCCTTTTTAACAATAGGCATGGCACTTTAGAATTATTGAATATTCCATAATACTAAGACTCAAAGGCCTCCTGCCACTGAATAACATTTAGAAAGTCTGCACATCTGTCATCTCCAGAGGTATCTGTTAGACTAATGCAAATTTGTGCAGAAATTAAATAAATTTTATTCAAAGAGTGAATAAAACATAATGTGTAAATTTGATTAATTTGTCAAAGCAAATATTGCTTAATTAAGGAACTCGGTGATTATTTCCTAATTCATAAATATTAATTATGATCAAATGTTGTTGCTTAACACATTAAAGGCTTAGTTGATTATTTAGTTTTTTGAATTGGAAATCTTACAGCTTGAGTTATTAATTAAAGGATATAATAATTAAAGGGAATACTTCTTTGACTTAATTAAGCAGGAAATGTTAGAATCCTTGAGTTCAGACATTGATTGATGCAATGCACTCAGCAATTTTAATTATTTATGGTTTTAGTTTTAGGAGAAGATGAATTATCCATTGAAGTAAGAAGACCTGCTTGCAGAAGTCCACCAGAGATTTACTCTGAAGGTCAAGCATCAAATGAAAAGGTATCACCAATTACAGTGTTTGATCTGTGATGTATAGGTGGTAAAAATTATTACTGGTAGTCCTTGATTTATGATCGATCACTTAGTTACTATTCAAAGTTATGATAGATCTACCCAGGGCTACTTACAACCTGGATTCAAGGTTCCAATGGCTGCTACCCGCACCCAGCAGTCATGCCTTTGCCTTTGACTAGTGAGGAAATCAGGCTTGTGTATTGGGTTCGTCTGTGTGTCAGGCTTTGCAGCTGTTTCTGTTTTAAATTTGGGGCTAGCCTTGTGGTTTGTTAGAATGGTTTTTTTCTCCATCCTGATTGGTTGGAGTCTTGGTCTGTGTTTACTGGTCTTGGAGTTTGCTGTGTTCTGCTTGATTGGTGTTTCTAATATCTTCTGTCTGTTTTGTAGCTTTTTTTTGTCTTGATTGGCTGGCAACATTGTGTTTCCTGTATTGGAGGCTTTTAGTGCGGCTTGGCTTCGGGTGAATGGCCGGCTATCGTTTATTAGGAAGCTAGGTTTCATCTTGAGGGCTGATTGGGGTGTGTTTGGGCTGGAGGTATTGAGGGGATCTGTTTGTGCCCAGGTGTTTGCCTGGCTTGTGGTGTGGAGATTTTTTTGTTTGTGAGTGCAGGCTTCCAAATAATTGACAGTCTGGTGGAATCATCTCTTCTATTCATGCTTTCAGGTCTTTTTTCAGTCTCTATGGCTTCTCTGATAATTCTGTAGCTGGGGTTTTCTATAGTGGCTAGGGTTTTGGTGCCATTGAAGTCAATGCTATGACCTATGGCTTTCATGTGTTGGACTAGTGAGGAAGTGTGTTCCAGCTTTTTTACTGCATTTTTGTGTTCATCCAGGTGGGTACTTATTCTTCTATTGGTCTGTCCGATGTATGTGGCAGGGCATGATTCACAGGGGACTTCGTATAAGCCTTGGTTTTCCAGGTCAATTTTATCTTTGGGGTTTCTTAGGATGGCTGCTATTTTTCTGTCTGTTTTGAAGGCGGTCTTGATGTGATGCCTGTGTAGTATCTTACTGATTTTGTCTGTAGTACCTCTTATGTAGGGCAGGACAGTTGTTCCATAGGCCTGTTCATCTTCTAGGTCTCTATTATGTCTCAGTGTGTTTTTGTGGATCAGGCCTGTGATTTTGCTTTTGTGGAAGCCATTGGCTGTCAGTACTTTGGTCAGGGTGCATAGTTCAGTCTTTATGTGTGTCTTGTCTGCCAAGCGTTTGGTTCTGGCAATTAGTGTTTTGGCCACGGAGTTTATCTGTGCTGGGTAGTGGTGGGATTGGGCGTTGAGGTAGCGGTTGGTGTGTGTTTTCTTCTGGTATATGGTGTGTCCTAGTGTGCCATCAGTTTTTTTAAAAAAACAAATTTTATTAATTTTTTAAAGACACACAAAACATAAGACATAAAAGCATAAAACCTCCTTTCTAAAGGTTACTTATAGGTTTTAACAAGGCAAAAAAAACATTATTTTGTACAGCATAGTTCCAAATTATCACATTTCCATTTAAACACATATATATCTTTTCCGAATTTCTCATTGTTTCTCCCTTCACTTTTATTCAATTATATTTCTTTCTATCAAGGTTTTATTAATTCTCAATCAAACATAAACACACAAAATACGAAACATAGAACAAGACATAGAAACATAAAACCTCCTTTCTGAAGGCTACTTGTAGATTTTGACAAAACAAATAAGACATTCTTTTATACAACATAATTCCAAATTATCATTTGTACATATCTTTTCCAAATTTCTCATTGTTTCTCCCTTTAGTTTTATTCCTCCAAGGTTTTATTAATTCTCAATCAAACATAGCTAACTAAAACACGAAACACAAAACATAAAACTTCCTTTTGGAAAGTGGCTTAGCCCCGGGTTACATCTTTTTTTACAGACCTAAATCAAATTCATGCTCACCTTATATACCATTCTTATCTTATTTACCATTCTATATTTTCTATATAACTTCTCCCTTCTTTTCACTCTCTTAATTATATTTTGTTTATTTCATCTTATTTTAAAATCATTATACTTGTATCTTTTGTCCGTTCTTTTCCAATTATCTATTTATCTCTTCTCTTTAACAGAAAATTTCCCCTATAATCACTTTTAAAGTGTGACGCCTTTCTATCTTTCCCCTAAATTGACACTTAAAATAATACATAATTTCCATTCTGATTCTGCTTAGTACATTCTACATGTTGCATTTTAAAATAAGAGAATAATAAATTTATAATATAGTTAAATATATAATTTCCATTCTAATTCTAATTCTGCTTAATACATTATTTTAAAATAAGAAAATGAAATAGTAAATTTGTACTAACATTAAGACAATAACAAATTAAACTATAACTAAACATTAATCATTTTATACATTCTCTTTAATATTTTATTGAATATTGAAATCTATCATTATTAAACATTTTAATATTTTAATATTTTATTAAATCTTATAATATTCCAATAGACTATTTCAAATGCAAATACTACAATACTATCTTATGTACTCTTGCAGAATCTTTCTTTAATTATGCTTTACCCTTTATCTCTGAAAAAAATCTGCTTTTTGGCATCTTGTTTCAAGCCTGTGTGACTTTTTTTCCCTCCCTTTCTTCTCCTACCTGGCCTTTTTGCACCCCTATCTCCTAACCTCCGTCTTTTTAACTTTCCCTCTCTGTTGTATTTCTCTTTTCTGTTGCTTTCTAACATTGTACCTTTTTTTCACCTTATTTTTCTCTTTCTTGGTTATTTTGTTAAATCTTAAATTCTCAATTTTCCTTCCCCTCTTCCTATTTTCTTTCTTAGTTGAACTTTTTTGTCCATTAAAGATGGCTTCTTCCTCCTCCTCCTCCTCCTCCTCCTCCTCCCCCCCCCCCCCC